TAAAATGTTGTAATTATAATCAAAAATGTTGTAATTAAAGTGTAAAATGTTGTAATTATAATCAAAAATGTTGTAATTAAAGTGTAAAATGTTGTAATTATAATCAAAAATGTTGTAATTAAAGTGTAAAATGTTGTAATTATAATCAAAAATGTTGTAATTAAAGTGTAAAATGTTGTAATTATAATAAAAAATGTTGTAATTAAAGTGTAAAATGTTGTAATTATAATCAAAAATGTTGTAATTAAAGTGTAAAATGTTGTAATTATAATCAAAAATGTTGTAATTAAAGTGTAAAATGTTGTAATTATAATAAAAAATGTTGTAATTAAAGTGTAAAATGTTGTAATTATAATCAAAAATGTTGTAATTAAAGTGTAAAATGTTGTAATTATAATCAAAAATGTTGTAATTAAAGTGTAAAATGTTGTAATTATAATAAAAAATGTTGTAATTAAAGTGTAAAATGTTGTAATTAAAGTGTAAAATGTTGTAATTAAAGTGTAAAATGTTGTAATTATAATCAAAAATGTTGTAATTAAAGTGTAAAATGTTGTAATTAAAGTGTAAAATGTTGTAATTATAATTAAAAATGTTGTAATTAAAGTGTAAAATGTTGTAAATATAATAAAAAATGTTGTAATTAAAGTGTAAAATGTTGTAATTAAAGTGTAAAATGTTGTAATTATAATAAAAAATGTTGTAATTATAATAAAAAATGTTGTAATTAAAGTGTAAAATGTTGTAATTATAATCAAAAATGTTGTAATTAAAGTGTAAAATGTTGTAATTAAAGTGTAAAATGTTGTAATTATAATAAAAAATGTTGTAATTATAATAAAAAATGTTGTAATTAAAGTGTAAAATGTTGTAATTAAAGTGTAAAATGTTGTAATTATAATCAAAAATGTTGTAATTAAAGTGTAAAATGTTGTAATTATAATAAAAAATGTTGTAATTAAAGGGTAAAATGTTGTAATTATAATCAAAAATGTTGTAATTAAAGTGTAAAATGTTGTAATTATAATCAAAAATGTTGTAATTAAAGTGTAAAATGTTGTAATTATAATCAAAAATGTTGTAATTAAAGTGTAAAATGTTGTAATTATAATAAAAAATGTTGTAATTAAAGTGTAAAATGTTGTAATTATAATGAAAAATGTTGTAATTAAAGTGTAAAATGTTGTAATTAAAGTGTAAAATGTTGTAATTAAAGTGTAAAATGTTGTAATTAAAGTGTAAAATGTTGTAATTATAATCAAAAATGTTGTAATTAAAGTGTAAAATGTTGTAATTATAATCAAAAATGTTGTAATTAAAGTGTAAAATGTTGTAATTAAAGTGTAAAATGTTGTAATTATAATAAAAAATGTTGTAATTAAAGTGTAAAATGTTGTAATTAAAGTGTAAAATGTTGTAATTATAATAAAAAATGTTGTAATTAAAGTGTAAAATGTTGTAATTATAATCAAAAATGTTGTAATTAAAGTGTAAAATGTTGTAATTATAATCAAAAATGTTGTAATTAAAGTGTAAAATGTTGTAATTATAATCAAAAATGTTGTAATTAAAGTGTAAAATGTTGTAATTATAATAAAAAATGTTGTAATTAAAGTGTAAAATGTTGTAATTATAATCAAAAATGTTGTAATTAAAGTGTAAAATGTTAACCCCAAGGAGAATCCTCTGTAAGACCTGTGTGTCTTAATAAAGGCTTTTGTGTGTGTGAAGTGTAAAATGTTGTAATTATAATCAAAAATGTTGTAATTAAAGTGTAAAATGTTAACCCCAAGGAGAATCCTCTGTAAGACCTGTGTGTCTTAATAAAGGCTTTTGTGTGTGTGAAGTGTAAAATGTTGTAATTATAATCAAAAATGTTGTAATTAAAGTGTAAAATGTTGTAATTATAATCAAAAATGTTGTAATTAAAATCAAAAATGTTGTAATTAAAGTGTAAAATGTTGTAATTATAATAAAAAAATGTTGTAATTAAAGTGTAAAATGTTGTAATTATAATCAAAAATGTTGTAATTAAAGTGTAAAATGTTGTAATTATAATCAAAAATGTTGTAATTAAAGTGTAAAATGTTGTAATTATAATCAAAAATGTTGTAATTAAAGTGTAAAATGTTGTAATTAAAGTGTAAAATGTTGTAATTATAATCAAAAATGTTGTAATTAAAGTGTAAAATGTTGTAATTATAATAAAAAATGTTGTAATTAAAGTGTAAAATGTTGTAATTATAATCAAAAATGTTGTAATTAAAGTGTAAAATGTTGTAATTATAATCAAAAATGTTGTAATTAAAGTGTAAAATGTTGTAATTATAATCAAAAATGTTGTAATTAAAGTGTAAAATGTTGTAATTATAATCAAAAATGTTGTAATTAAAGTGTAAAATGTTGTAATTATAATAAAAATGTTGTAATTAAAGTGTAAAATGTTGTAATTAAAGTGTAAAATGTTGTAATTAAAGTGTAAAATGTTGTAATTATAATCAAAAATGTTGTAATTAAAGTGTAAAATGTTGTAATTATAATCAAAAATGTTGTAATTAAAGTGTAAAATTTTGTAATTATAATCAAAAATGTTGTAATTAAAGTGTAAAATGTTGTAATTAAAGTGTAAAATGTTGTAATTATAATAAAAAATGTTGTAATTATAATAAAAAATGTTGTAATTAAAGTGTAAAATGTTGTAATTATAATCAAAAATGTTGTAATTAAAGTGTAAAATGTTGTAATTATAATAAAAAATGTTGTAATTAAAGTGTAAAATGTTGTAATTATAATCAAAAATGTTGTAATTAAAGTGTAAAATGTTGTAATTATAATCAAAAATGTTGTAATTAAAGTGTAAAATGTTGTAATTATAATCAAAAATGTTGTAATTAAAGTGTAAAATGTTGTAATTATAATAAAAAATGTTGTAATTAAAGTGTAAAATGTTGTAATTATAATAAAAATGTTGTAATTAAAGTGTAAAATGTTGTAATTAAAGTGTAAAATGTTGTAATTAAAGTGTAAAATGTTGTAATTAAAGTGTAAAATGTTGTAATTAAAGTGTAAAATGTTGTAATTATAATCAAAAATGTTGTAATTAAAGTGTAAAATGTTGTAATTATAATCAAAAATGTTGTAATTAAAGTGTAAAATGTTGTAATTAAAGTGTAAAATGTTGTAATTATAATAAAAAATGTTGTAATTAAAGTGTAAAATGTTGTAATTAAAGTGTAAAATGTTGTAATTATAATCAAAAATGTTGTAATTAAAGTGTAAAATGTTGTAATTATAATCAAAAATGTTGTAATTAAAGTGTAAAATGTTGTAATTATAATCAAAAATGTTGTAATTAAAGTGTAAAATGTTGTAATTATAATAAAAAATGTTGTAATTAAAGTGTAAAATGTTGTAATTATAATAAAAAATGTTGTAATTAAAGTGTAAAATGTTGTAATTATAATCAAAAATGTTGTAATTAAAGTGTAAAATGTTGTAATTATAATCAAAAATGTTGTAATTAAAGTGTAAAATGTTGCAATTATAATAAAAAATGTTGTAATTAAAGTGTAGAATGTTGTAATTATAATCAAAAATGTTGTAATTAAAGTGTAAAATGTTGTAATTAAAGTGTAAAATGTTGTAATTAAAGTGTAAAATGTTGTAATTATAATAAAAAATGTTGCAATTAAAGTGTAAAATGTTGTAATTATAATCAAAAATGTTGTAATTAAAGTGTAAAATGTTGTAATTATAATCAAAAATGTTGTAATTAAAGTGTAAAATGTTGTAATTATAATCAAAAATGTTGTAATTAAAGTGTAAAATGTTGTAATTATAATAAAAAATGTTGTAATTAAAGTGTAAAATGTTGTAATTATAATCAAAAATGTTGTAATTAAAGTGTAAAATGTTAACCCCAAGGAGAATCCTCTGTAAGACCTGTGTGTCTTAATAAAGGCTTTTGTGTGTGTGAAGTGTAAAATGTTGTAATTATAATAAAAAATGTTGTAATTAAAGTGTAAAATGTTGTAATTATAATCAAAAATGTTTTAATTAAAGTGTAAAATGTTGTAATTATAATAAAAAATGTTGTAATTAAAGTGTAAAATGTTGTAATTATAATCAAAAATGTTGTAATTAAAGTGTAAAATGTTGTAATTATAATCAAAAATGTTGTAATTAAAGTGTAAAATGTTGTAATTATAATCAAAAATGTTGTAATTAAAGTGTAAAATGTTGTAATTAAAGTGTAAAATGTTGTAATTATAATCAAAAATGTTGTAATTAAAGTGTAAAATGTTGTAATTATAATAAAAAATGTTGTAATTAAAGTGTAAAATGTTGTAATTATAATCAAAAATGTTGTAATTAAAGTGTAAAATGTAATTATAATCAAAAATGTTGTAATTAAAGTGTAAAATGTTAACCCCAAGGAGAATCCTCTGTAAGACCTGTGTGTCTTAATAAAGGCTTTTGTGTGTGTGAAGTGTAAAATGTTGTAATTATAATAAAAAATGTTGTAATTAAAGTGTAAAATGTTGTAATTATAATCAAAAATGTTTTAATTAAAGTGTAAAATGTTGTAATTATAATAAAAAATGTTGTAATTAAAGTGTAAAATGTTGTAATTATAATCAAAAATGTTGTAATTAAAGTGTAAAATGTTGTAATTATAATCAAAAATGTTGTAATTAAAGTGTAAAATGTTGTAATTAAAGTGTAAAATGTTGTAATTATAATAAAAAATGTTGTAATTAAAGTGTAAAATGTTGTAATTATAATCAAAAATATTGTAGTTAAAGTGTAAAATGTTGTAACTAAAGTGTAAAATGTTGTTATTATAATCAAAAATGAAAATTGCAATTATACCGCGAATGTTTCTTTTAAACAAAAATCGAATTTTATTTTAAAGAGAAATAACGACCATTTCTAACTTTAAGGATGAAGTATGAAAGGGTGAAAATATGAAGAGTAATGGCGAACGGAAAAATAAAAGTGTCCAGGGGCGGGAATCGAACCTAAGACCTTCCACTTACCGGGCAGATGCCATGTCCACTAGGCTACCCTGGACATATCTTTCCGTTCGTAAATATTATATAAAGTAATTTAAAATACAATATTTTCGTTTTACAATCATCAGCCGCGTTATATTGTATTTTAAATTACTTTATATAATATTTACGAACGGAAAGATATGTCCAGAGTAGCCTAGTGGACATGGCATCTGCCCGGTAAGCGGAAGGTCGTGGGTTCGATTCCCGCCCCTGGACACTTTTATTTTTCCGTTCGCCATTACTCTTCATATTTTCACCCTTTCATACTTCATCCTTAAATTTAGAAATGGTCGTTATTTCTCTTTAAAATAAATTTCGATTTTTGTTTAAAAGAAACATTCGCGGTATAATTGCAATTTTCGTTTTACAATCATCAGCCGCGTTATATTGTATTTTAAATAATCAAAAATGTTGTAATTAAAAGTGTAAAATGTTGTAATTAAAGTGTAAAATGTTGTAATTAAATATTGTAATTAAATGGAATGTTGCCATTAAAGCGTAAAAAGTTGTTATTAAAGTGTAAACGTGTATTTTTGAAGTATAAAACTGCTTTTATTAAGGTATAAAATGTTGTTATAATTGCATTATACAATGGTATCTCAAAGTGTACAAAAAACCCTCTATATATGTAAATAATTATAAAGTATTACATATATATATATATAAGAGAGAGGAAAATTTGTGTAGAGGAGAAAATTCTATCCTCCGGATTGTATTCCTTCCCCAAAATTTCCTTTTCTTCCCCGCTGAAGGGCAAATAATTAAATCTCAAGTTTTCATTAACAGGATTAAGGACTTAAGATTTTTCTTAGACTCGTTATCAAACTTTGTGTGTGTGTGTGCTTAACCAAGGTTTGTTAACACCCTGGTTAAAATTAATCTTCTTCTTTTTTGTGTTTAAAATCTTCTTTTATTCTGATATAAAATTATCGGAAATATGTAATTAAAATACATATTCTTTGAAGAGATTTGTATATTGTGTTTTATTTAATAAATTATTGATAAATTTGGGAGGAAAATGGTAAGAAACTTCAAATATAATATCTTCCAAAGAATATATTGATACCAAAAAAGACACCTCTCCCTTTAATTATGATTCAGAACGACGCACTTGTTCATCATCCTAGAGAAAAACTTTACTAGTCATGATAAGGTATAAATCACAACATCAGTTTTGGTAAATTCAGACAAAAAACCAACAACCTGTATTCAATGCTTTCGGGCTACAGCCCTCATCAGTACAGGGACGGCTTTGATTTCATAACATCCTACGAGAGGGGTTATAATATCGGTCGAATTGTACCAAAGAGGTGTTTAAGCTGGTGAAAAGGGGTGATGAACCAAGTACATCGTTTTGATGTATATTTAAAGGGAGAGGTGCCTCTTTTGGTACATGAATATCATCATCACGCATATTTGTAAAACGACATTTGAAATACCATCCCGCATGTGTTTCTTTTCAACGAAAAAATCAAAATTCATTTCAAGGAGAAATAACGATTATTTCTAACCTTTTGGATGAGGTATGAAAGGGTGAATTGTGAAGAGTAATGATAAACGGAAAAAAAAAAGTGCCCAGGGATGGGAATCGAACCCACAGTGTTCCGCTTACCGGGCAGATGGGTTCGATTCCCATCCCTGGACACTTTTATTTTTCCGTTTATCATTAGTCTTCACAATTCACCCTTTCATACCTCATCCAAAAGGTTAGAAATAATCGTTATTTATCCTTGAAATGAATTTCGATTTTTTCGTTGAAAAGAAACACATGCGGGATGGTATTTCAAATGTCGTTTTACAATCATAAGCCGCATTATATTATATTGTAATATATACTCAGCTATATATATGTTGTAATCTAGGCTGAAAATTGGCTCTTGCCATTCTACCAGCTTAAACATCTGTTTGGTAAATTCGACCGATTCCATAACTTCTCCCGTAGGATGTTTCCCCGGGCAGTTGGCGATCTATGGATATACTTCAGAAGCCTTGTGGGAAACCTATATGTAACTATGTTATTAAATCACACTACTGATGAGGGCTATAGTCTGAAACTATGGTATACAAGTAAAGTTGTGCTGTTTTTTTCGAATAAACCAAAGCTGGCATTATGGCATATTAACAGACTTGGATATGTGCTTTCTGATTGTTGTTGTTATGTACATTGAAGAGCCTCAGATATCTCCATACATCTCTATCACAGCAATGTCCTCTATCTTGGATGTGTAAACTGCTGCTCTGGGTCCATGTCAATTTTCTGCAAGGTGCTTTCTGGTCATGGAGATAAAATAAATATTTATTTAAAAATGTTTTTTAAAAGTTAAAAGGTTTTATAATATGTTTATTAAAAAGGGAGAGGTACCTTTTTTACACATTAATTTCATCCTCCTGCGTTTTAACACTAAAGTCTATTTGTCTTGAAAGAACTAGTCTTTTAAAAGTTAATATATTTTTTGAAAAATTATTTTTTAGCTCTAAATATAGTATCCTTGTAACTCTCACCGCTATATAGACTCTAAAATATATATGGAGATAATACTTTAAAAACATATATTAATTTCAAATTTATATAGTAAATACATTTTTTACCTTTTTAAAATATTGACTTTATTTTGCAATCAATTTTAAAATATAAACCATAAATATTTATAAAATATTATATATGTTAATAATTATATATTTGGTTATAAATTTTACAATGGGATTATAACGATGTTTTTTTGTATTTATTATATCTTTTGTTTTCATATTTATACAGTTTTTAATATGAAAAATACTTATATCTTTTGTTTTCATATTTATACAGTTTTTAATATGAAAAATACTTTTATCTTTTGTTTTCATATATATACAGTTTTTAATATGAAAAATACTTATATCTTTTGTTTTCATATTTATACAGTTTTTAATATGAAAAATACTTATATCTAAATTGTGAATTTAGACATTTAAGAATTTTAAACATACAGGTGTATATAGATATAAAATGATTTATGTGCTACATGCAATGAAATGTGCTACATTTTCAAATATTTTACATATAATATAAAATTTTATTGTAAATCTATATATTTATACTTATGTGATGCATAAAATATATGAATAATTATGCTAATATAATAAGGGGCGCGTGAAACATTATTTAAAATATATTTTATATGATTTCTTTTAAGAATATTTTAAAGAGTACTTACCCATCTTCTTTTCTTCTTCTACGAAATAAATTAACCAATCTTCTAAAACCTCTTCTTATGCCAAAACATCGAAACATTGGTTTAAATGCCAATTATAAAATTTATTTTGTTTGAAACATATAATTTTGACAACAAATATAATGCGTTTGGATTTTTATTGATATAATAACTATTATTGATTTAGAAAAAAAACTATTTTTCATATATAATTATCAGTATTATAATTGTTTTAATAATGAATTTAAAAAAATATTTGTGATGTTTTATAAAATATATGAGTTTAAAAATATTTAAAATATAGGCAGTTTAATAAAGCGGAAAAATGAAAACATGCCCTTATTTTAAAATCAAATATATTCAAAGATATTTGTCTTATTTAAATTTATGGATATTCTAAAGAGGAATTTAAGTTTTGATTTATATTTCATATTTCCATCTGTATTCGACAAATCCTAAATGTATTCCACCTTAAATTTTTACTTAACATTAAGATATATAAATTATATGTCAAATATATAACACAAGGAAAATAGATTGTTAAATATCTTTTGTATAAATAATTGTGAACACAATATTTGTAATATAGGTTTTGCAATTTTAAGACAACATTTTTATACTTAATAACAACATTTTATACTTCAATAACCACATTTTCATTTTTAAATAGTATTTTTATAATTTAAAAAATATTTACTATAGATATTTTTAGGTTCTATCGAAATACTTTTATTTTATTTGGAATTGATCTACTTTAAACATTTTTTATATATTATTTAATTAAGCATTAGAAATAAATAATTTGAGATTTTCTGAAGTAAAATAGCGTTAAATTTATTCTATATTTCCGATACACATTCTGGGTAAAATCAATGTCAAAGTGGAGTGTCAAGATATTACTTACAAACTTAGAGCGAAGAGGCTCCAATGACTTTACATCGTCTGTATCACTCTGAACCTCTGAATCTTGATCCGACCGCTGGCTAGTTAGTCCTGGCGACAGCGACTCCATATAACCTCTGTCTCGTACAACCTCCGAGATTATGGCACTGGGACCTGCTCCTCTTGAGTGCTCGGGTTGACGCTCTCCATCTCCACTCTCATCTTCCTCACCATTCCTCCACCTTTTTCTAATTTCGAAGTGGATTGAAGCCATCCCAATGAGAGAGACCACCACACGCAAAACCATTGAGCAACTACGGCGACTTTTTTCTTCCTATGGTCTACCGGAGGAACTTGTATCTGATAATGGACCTCAGTTTACTGGTAGTGAAATGAAAGGTTTTCTGGAAGGAAATGGAATTAAACAAACATTGATCCCGGCGTACCACCCGCAAAGTAATGGCTTGGCTGAAAGAGCGGTTAGAACAATTAAGACTGCCCTGGATAAAAATAAAAGGAAAATTGGGGATACCATTCAAGACACCTTATCAAAAGTTCTTCTGGCATATCGAAGCACCCCGCATGTGACAACGGGAAAGACTCCATCAGAGCTCTTTATTGGGCGTGCGCTTCGAACCAGAGTATCGTTGATACATCCCAGCTTGACATCTAGAGTTAGGGACCAGCAAGCCAGGCAAATGAAGTATGATCGGCGAACCCAATTGGAAGAATTCCAGATAGATGATTTAGTGTGGTGTAAAAACTTTAGAGGTGGTGATAAATGGATCCCGGGAAAAATTGTGGGCAAGAAGGGAACTAGAGTCTACACCATTTTGATCCACGGACAGGTAAAGGCCTATCACAGGGATCAAATTAGAAAAAGGTGGAGGAATGGTGAGGAAGATGAGAGTGGAGATGGAGAGCGTCAACCCGAGCACTCAAG